CTGGGACCCTAAATGAAAACAAACTCTATTACCATCCAAACTATCGTCCTCTTGAATTCTTTCTTTCTTTCTCTCTTTCTTTTCATGATTGTAGCGAACAAATAATTAAGGAAAAGGAAAAAAAATAAGATGTTCCAATATTTAAAATATCAATATGTCACATAATTTTTATTAAATTTTTTGACATTTTAAATATTAGAATGTCCTAATTTCTTCTTTTCCTAACCAAATATATCATTAAATGAAATGTTTGATTAATTGGCATGTATTCATTTTGAGTGGCGGAGAAGGGAAACCCTACATTATCACAAGGGACACAACTGAAATTATTCACCAAAATCAAAGAAATTCAATTAGGAACAAAAGTTGAGATAGGTTGAATTAAATGTAATTATGTGATACCAGTTATGGTTGGAAAATGTGCTAACAAGTAAGTAGGGCACCAATAAATTCATGGCCTGCATAAGTGCATATACACACATAATGACGCGTATTGGTGAATTCCTGAAAAGAAGCCGCTCAACTTAGTGCTTGGTAGCAAATAAACCTTCAAACTCAATTTTGAGGCAAATAACTCTTTTAACTTGGTTAAATAGGCAAAACCCTATATTAAGCCTCCAAATTTATCTTAAATTTTATGTTAAATTTCTAAACTTTTATAAAAGTAAATAAGCCCTTAAATTTAGTGATTTGAGTAATTTAACCCCTTTTCTTTACAGCAAACTTAACACTTATTTGTGTATCATTTACGTCAATAAGGTATTGACATGTCATTATCTGTGTGACAGATATTGATATGTTATTACAAATGTGGCAAGTATTGACCTTATTCATGTAAGACACAAACATGCAATAAGTCTATAATAATGAAAAGAGTTAAATTGCCTAAATTATCAAATTTAAAAATTTATTTGCTTTCATAAAAGTTTAAGAGTTTAATCAAGAATATGAAGTAAGTTTGGAGATTTAATGTAGTTTGCCGGTTAAATACCATTTTTAGTCCTTAAATTTTTAATTTTAAATATTTCTATTCCATAAATTATTTTTTGTACTTTTCATCCTAAACTATAAAAATTGTAATTTTTTTAGTTTTTTTTATCAATTATTTCATTAAATCTATTCATACATGCATATTTTTAGTCTCTAAATTTATAATATATACATATTTTTAATCTAGAAATTCATAAATTCAAGAATTAAAAATATGTATATATAAACAAATTTAATAAACTAATTAACAAAACATCAACTTACAATCTTACCTGGCATTAAATTAATATAATGTGATATTAAACGAGTTGGTGCATATAATATTATAGATAGACTTCTAAATTAAAAAAGTTAAATGTAATATCACATCATATTGTCAATTTACAATATAATACAGTATTGTAATTTTAATATTTTCATTAACAAGATTACTTTAAAAAGTGCATAGTGCGGTGAAATTTGAATTAAATCTAAAACTCACAAAAAGCTAATCAAATGTATATTAAATTAAAAAATTATTAAACAATTTAAATTATTTTAAATTACATAATTTTAATCATTTAATGAAATATATCTCTTAATATATATATTTTTTCTTTTGAACATGTTTGCAAGGGACGGGTTTCGAACCCAACTCGGAGGAGGGGGGGAATGCACCGAAGTTGCTATTGTCACTAGGCCTCAAGGGTCAGGTGCTATATCTCTTAATATTAAATACTTTTTTTATTTAATAATTTATATTTTATAATTTAACACAATTTAAACAGTGTGTTTAAAAGCACTTGCGGCCTTAGCCGCGATAGTAGTGCACCAACACCTTTGACTTTTTTGTCAAGGGTTCAAACTGCTGATACAGTAATATTATAATTATTTTTTCTTTTCTTAATTTCTCACTGGTCAAAAAAAAAAAAAACAGTAAGTTTAAAATCTCATATTAAATTTAGGCCGACTTTTCAGATAGGTCCGTGTTTGAAGCAGAACTCAAACCAGGGTGACTGATTGCATCACGCTCGCTCTCTGCTGTTACTGTTAGCATCCACGTAATCCTTACTTGAAATCTGATTGGACCGTACGTTTCTTAATATGGCAAGTGATGTGAGTTACTAATCTCTATTCATTCGTTTTATTGCCATCTTTTTTAAATATATATATATATATATATAT